TTTCTGTTAATAGCCTGATTGTCCCCAGACCTCTACAGCCTGTAGATACAAGTGAATCAAATTGCTTTGGCCCCACATGTTGCTAGTTCTAAGCCCTCAGTGCCAAACTTCAGGACTTTAGCACACCCACCCCAAGTCCCCACAGTTACTTCTGGGGGTCTTCTATGCTCAGGGCCAGCCCTTGCATGTGCTTCTGCTCTGCACTCTCTGTAGATGTCCACTTTGTACCCAGTCGCTTAAGGCAAAGTGGTATCTCCCAGTACTCAATATCTGAACAACCTTCAGATAAATTTTCCTGCTTAGTTAAGGGTCAAGTAATCTGGGTTTCCAGCAGACATTTTAGTGGAAGTCTATGCCTTTGTTGGAATTGCATGCAATTCAGAAAGTGTGTTGGTCTGATAGAGAGAAGCAACTGTCTTGTTATATTTCTATCTTGTTTTGTTATAATCCCATTTCCTTTGAAGGCATCCTCTGAATTTCTAGATCCTGACAAGAGAAACAAGGTAAGTTCCTTTGTAGAGCACAGATGACCTACATCTATCTGCCCAACTGACCAAGACTTCTGGCTCATGTGCCAGCTTTGTCTACTTTCTTTTCTTAGATGACTCCCCACTGTTACCCCTAGGACTTATCTTCCAACCTGCCATCCTCCAAAATATAAAAAGAAAACAAAGTGGGGCTGGCCAAGTGGCTCAGTTGGTTAAGAGTGCAAGCTCTGAGCAACAGGGTCACCGGTTCAATTCCCACATGGGCCAGTGAGCTGTGCCCAAGCTGAGCTGCCGCTGACATGCCAACAGATGGCAGGATGGCTCAGCTGGTGAGAGCATGTGCTCCTAACAACAAGGTTGCCTGTTGGACTCCCGCATGAGATGGTGGGCAACTAAGATTGAACAAGACACCTCGAGCTGAGCGGCTGTGAGCTGCCAACAGGCAGCCGGATGGTGACTGGACTTGGAGCTGAGCTAGCTGCACCCTCCACAACTAACACTGAAGGACAACTTGGCTGTTTCCCTTCCCCAATTCCCCAACACTGTTCTCCTTCCCCAATTCCCCAATAAAATCTTTAAAAACAAGAAAGATAGAAAGAAAGAATGAAAAGGTCAAAACTTCTAGGAAGGAAGAATCTGTTCCCTCCACTTTCCTCATCCAAATGAAAAAAGATAATGAGAACACCTTGCATTGTGAAATTCCCCTAAAGAATGCCCATATTGCCCTAAATAGAAGGCAATGGGCTTCAATATGTAGTTTATGGGCTTTCTTGTCCTTCATCTTCAGCATTAAGAAGACAGTTTCTGGTTCAGAGTCTGGGAGAATTTCTAGATCCACTAATGTTCATACAAGCATCAAAGGAAAAGTCCATTCTCTGGAAAAAGATAGTGTTTAAGGAGCCCTTGCAACCCTTTGCAGGCCTTTATATATACAGCCTTCATGTTTCCAATAAAAAGAATCTTCATTTTTAATCTAAGGAAGTTCCTGTATCTATTGATCATTTTCCTTTCCCTTCTCTCTATCCCTTCATCTCCCTGCCATTCCAATCTGTACACAAAATTCCTCCTAACAAGCCCCTTCAATTCATGCAAATGGACACTTAGGGGGAAGAAGATACTAGTTTTTCAGATTCAACCATATTTTGAATGTAAATTGATTCCCCCGGGACTCCTGCCACAATTATATACACCACCAAAGAGATTAAATAACAGTTAGTAATAAATTCCAATTTCATATCCTGGATAGTGTATTTGGGTTTCAGAGAGGAAAACCCTATTCTATAATATACCTAAGTATTTTTTAAGCTAGTTTGTTCATGTAGGAAGGATGCTGAAAGGAAATGTCATCCTGGTCCTAAATAAAGATCAACTCAACTATTGAAATATGAGAGTTGCTAGCAATAACACTTGCAGCTGTAAACTACTGCAAATATTCCAGTTCACGCTGAAGAATATCTATGGGGAGGGTGACTCCTCACTGCATATATTATTGATGGAGCTGGGTTATGATGTGAGATGGTAGTGAAAATAACTTGCAAACTGAAATCAAATATAATATTCTAGCTTTCCACCAGAAAAGCCCAACTACTAATTTTCACCTCTTACTCTTGAAACATTCTGACTGGATTAGGGTTTCAACTACATGCCTTATTTTCAGGCTCAATTAAATATTTAAACATTTTTCCTGGTATTCAGCTAAAATGAACAAAATGTTCATAGTAGTTCAGTAATACTAGAGATAAAGCCCTAGAGAACTCACTATGGTTAAATCTAGCAATGCAAATGACTGGACTGCAGAGTAAATTGTCAGTTCTTTAGAAGCAATCGGGACCACTAATGTGGATTATTTTATAAGTCGATGTAATCAGAAAGCTCCATATTGATCTTTTATAATAAAAGAAGTCAAATGGTTAAACCTGCTGGCACTGATATAAGTCCTTAATTATTTCTAGACTCATGTATCAATTACTACAATCTCACTTCTTCCATCCCCAAACAACCCAGACCTAGTGAAGGGTGTGGCTTTGTTTTTTACATTCAAGTTTCAATAATTTATTTATAAAACATAACATATGGGCCTCTAAACATTAAGAGGAAAAAACACATCATTTTGTTGTACCATTTACCTTTATGTGTACAAAGGATTGGTATGACTCCATCAACCTTACTAAAGAAATAATTTAAAATTCATTCTTTACTAAAAATGGGTCAATAATGTCTTCCATAGAAACAAAAGATAGCAAACCATTGTAGAGTTAAAAACAGTGCTCAAGCTCATTCTTCATACATTACTGAATCATATTTTTTTTGTTTTTAGTGCCTAAATAGCATCAAAAAGCTTTCAGTTTTACATGGACAACTTTGTCAGCCTTTCTACATAATATAGATTACTTCATTATTTAATCTAGAGATGTGAAATTCTAAAACCATAGGGTAATAGTTTGGTATTTTACTATTTAATAAACTAGAAGAATAGTTTATTCAAACAATTGATTAGAATCACTATAAATTAATGTAATTTCATTTGATAGATCTATGTTTTCAAAATATAATTGTTGTTTTGTATGTGGTTATGCATAAGCCTAATAAAATAGATTGTTCCGTTGTGTTACTTATTTGTCCAGGTCTGCTCAGGAGGTCAGAACTTTGCTAGATAGGAGGCCCTCTTCCAGAGACCATGTTTTGATATAGCATCTGGAAATGAAGTTGCTGAGAGAGGTCAAATCAATTTGCTATTATGAGGGAAATCATTACTAAAAAGAATCAAAGCTTAACAAAGGATTTCATTCTTTGAAGGGCAAGGAAGCATAGAAATAAGAAACTAGGCAGTGAGGTTGGTGGTTGAAAAAAATTCAGAGAAGGATGATCAAGTGCAAGTTCAAATCTGGTGATTTGGAATCTCAACTTTGAATGGATGATATATGTTCCATGTTATTTAGCTTAATTCAGGGGGTTATTTACCCTTCATCCTCAGTTTTGAAAGAGGAATTCTAGTTCAGAGTCAGAGCGTTCCTAAAATCACTAATGTTTCTGCAGGCAAAGGAGGAAAAGTTCACCCTCTGGAACAAAATCGTTTTTAGGCAGTCCTTGTTGCCCTTTTCAGGCCTTTAGACATAGAGCCAAATCCATCATCAACCTTCATGTTTCCAATTCCAATGTTTTCATTGTTCCAAGAACAATACTCATTTTTTTTAATCTAAGGAGAGACATCAGGGCAAGACAATAAACACTACTGAGTTATGTGAAAGGGTTATTGAATATAAACCCAAAGCAGGGCTAAAGTTGGTTTGGATGCCCAGCTAGATGCTTCATTGTAGCTAGACAGGTGTGACTATGGCAAATGGCTGAAATTTGCTGAGAATCACATCATGTTCCACAAAACCATGCTTGCAAGAATTACCAGAATATCCAACAAAATCTGTAGAATTTAACACTTGCTCAAGGCCATTCCTGAACACCTGCCCTAAGTGGATTGGAGTCCTAATGTTTCCACTGTATAAATTATAAACTCTGAGTAGAAATAGGGGACATAGTAGATTGATACCCTGACAGACCCTATCCAACTACTTCTACTTTATTGTGCAGACCAACTCCCACAACTGATAACCATGTACACCGGCAGACATGCTTTCAGAAATGTGAGTGAATATTTAGAAAAGAAGATGCAACTGCAATATTAAAAACCCACGCACTATCCATTTACATATGTCTTATTCCTTCTCTCCTAAATTCTCACAGTACAATAGTCTTCCGTAAGTTTAAATTTGATACAACTATTATAAATTTACTCATTCTCCCTCCTTCTCCCGACCAAAATAATGTGACTGGGCAGATTCACTTTCTGAGTTCTACTATGCCAAGCCTCTGGCACTGTCGATGCTTCATGCCATGGGAACACGTTAGTCACTACTGGACTCAAGAGTTCTGAGGAGCCTTCAAATCCACTTTATGAATGGTGCTAGGAGTTTCTCTGGGTCCCTTTGGGAACCTGGAAAGGGAAAATGGGTAGGGTATGAAGCCAGGAGTTGTAGACTCCCTGCCCCACTTCGGGGCAGGTTTTATTTATTTTATTATATGTATTGGGCTTTTTCATAAATTTCTGTCAGTACTAAGAGTTCAACTGATTTTCAAGGGTTCAAAATGGCTGGTGTGGTAAAAATAGGTCTCTAAGGAGAGTCAGACTTGGTTAGAAAGCCAGGACCTGTCACTTACTGTGGTGGGAGGGGGGGGGAATACCTCTCTCTCTTATAATAATTTCAGCACAGCCTACCTCACAGATTTGCTGTGATGTTGAAACACTACTACAATCGTAGGGAGAGTGGGGACTGAGCTGGGTTCTGTGGCAGTCATCTGGCCGGAAGTCCCGCCTATGAGCTCTCAACCCGCCCAACCCTTCACCCCTCCTTACACCGCTTACCCTTCACCCGGAAGCGGACCCCATGGACAGACAGTCGACTCCACACTCCAGGACATCGACCCACAGGCTATGGCGTGGATTCCACCAGCCAAGATATGGATCCCTGCGGCCTAGAATCCCAACCCACTGGCCAAGAGTCTGACCCCGCAGGCCTAGATTTCGACTCTCCTGGTCAAGGTTATTTCTCCACTGGCCTCGAGTTCAACTCTCTCTACCAAAAATTGGACCTGACTCTCTTAACGAAGATTTTCTTTCTCAGTCCAAGCCAGGTGCCATGACAGAATTCATATATGCAGGCACATATGAACCCCACCAGACTGCAGAACCACAGGCTCTCACAGAGGCAGATCAAAAGGAGATAGAATCTGAGCTCACTAAATTGGAGGCGGAAATTGTAAGCTTACGCCACGTGCTACCAGTCAAAGAAAGACGCTGCGTGGAGCTCAAGAGGAAGCTAGGCCTCACAGCCTTGGTGGGGCTGAGGCAGTCTATCCAAGAGCTGGCATGATGTTCAGGTCTCCAATGTCTCCATGAAACAAAAGACATCAACTGCCCTGTCCACCATGGGCTCTGCCATCTGCAGGAAGCTTGGAGACATGAAGAAGTCGGCCATATTTAGATCCTTGGAAGGTCTGGTAGGGACAATCAAGTCCACAGTCGGAGGTGGCAGAGAGAGCTTGGCAATGACTACCTTCCTGCTTCAGTGATGTATGTGGATGATCCGCTCCCGGTTTCAGGGAGTAGGTATGCTCCGCTCCTAATTTCAGGGAGTGGAAATGATCCGGTTACAGGAAGTGAGGATGACCCGCTTCCCTTTATGGAGCTGGAATAAGCCCCTTGGTAACCTTGCCTGGATACCTAACCAGTGCAAGAACTTCCTTCCCTCATCACAATTGCAACTCTGCCCATTAAAACAAACAACCTAACCACAATGGTAAAGTTAATTCAGGAAATGGACAGAGTCCAGTTTTGAGAAAAATAATGCCCATTTGTATATAGATATTTGCTGCTGTTGAGATATTTGCTGCTGTTGAGATAAAGAACCCAACATTTTGTACGTGGTTATTTTACACTAAAGTTTGTAGCCTAAATGCATCACTATACTAGCCTTCCTGAGGTTGCATTTAAATGGACAAGACAATGGCTCCAGAGAGGTCTAAGGCTAAAGCCCAAACTCTGTTTTGGAAAACTAGTCTTATCAGACGGCAAAGTAGGTTTCTGTTTAGAACTGAGAAAAGGTATAAAATAATCTATAAATGTATCCCCTCCCCATCTCCTTCAGACATCCTTCCTTTCCTAAATCTCAGAAGGAACCTTAACAACTTCAACTGGTCTACGATTTCTATTTTGAAAAGATGATCAAGAAAACTCGTTTTTCACTGAGACCATCAGAAAGGAAGAAAAATATTAGTATACTAATTGTTACATAATACTATAACTTTTATAAAAATTGATTTTTTTAAAGCTCCTAATTAAGCAAAGTAACTTTAGCTTCAATTTAGGAGACTGTTAACTACTTTGGACTCAAGGTGAAATTGCAACTTTACTTTGCCTTGTGTTTTGTCATTGTTTTACATAGCAAAATGATGGTTTTAAAGTTTAACTTGTGGCAATGTGTCTCTGCCACAGCAGCATGCCAGCTAAAAGAAAGAAAGTTGCCTCTCTGTTCTGCAGCGATTCCTAGTTATCACCTCCAGCTGAGTGGCTGGAGAGAAAACAGCATAGCCAAATTAAAGAAAGATAAACCCGTCTTAAGCAACATCTAAAATAGAATGCCCATCCCCAGTAATGCTGACTGTTATGCTTTTCAATTGACATAACTAACTGATAATACATTACTGGTCACCTTGACTCCAAGCCTGTCCTTGTTTATAGCTAACCCCAACTGAAAGGAAACGGAAGCTGACCCTCAGGAGATGTCAGGATAGTGGAACCTAATTTGGATTTGTTCAAACTTTCTCATTTCTGATTTACACAGGAACTATGATGTTTTTTGTTTTTGTTTTCCTTTTGCATTTTCAAAATGCCAGAACCTGGCAGGTTCTTTCATTCTCCCAGTCACATTGCCTGAGGTAGAAGTTTGTGTCTTATTGATTTCCAACAGGGGAACAAGGACCTTTATTTATGTGGGTGTATATTTATAACATCTCACTGCCTAAAGGTAGTCCCTCCAGCCTAAGAAGGTGATCCTGTTTTGATGATTCTTGAATGTTCTCTCCTTTATTCCTATGGTTTTCCTATAAGTGAAACCAAAATACCACTATAAATGCAACAGCACTTGGTAAATTACAAAGTCACTGATGTATGCCAACCCTCCACAGATTTCTGAAGACAAAGTCTTGCTTGGATTAAAACAAAATGTTCAACTATTTTACATGTTTGTTTTTTAATTTGTTGTGTTTAGCAGCCAAAATGGTTTTCTATGATGAAGAACTAGAGACACACCTGCAGCATGCATAAAACCAAAGTAGTCCAACAGGCGAAGGCTTTGACCTCATATTGCAGAAAGCCTTGTGTTTGGGAAAACCTCAGACTGACATCATCAACCAAACCCAGAATATGTCCTATTTTACCTAATAATTCAAACAAATGCAGTAACAGTTTCTCCCAATAAATCCTCGACTCTCTGAGAGCAGTAAATAACATCTATTTTTGTTCATTATAGTCCCATGCCTAGCTTTGGGTAGATGTTCAATAAATACTTGTTGAATTAATGAAGGAATCAATATCACATTTCAGCCCTCAAGTCTTGGATCCAAGAGATTATCAACAACATGAACTGGTTGACAAGTCCCTCAAGCTTTCAAACAAAGCATTTTACTTGCCTATTCAAAGAGAATTTGAGACTCTAATATGTGTCAAGGCACTGTGCCAGGATTTGACAGAAATTAACTAGACATGGTGCATGCTCTCTAGAAACTCATTTTTAAATCATTACAATTCACTGCACTAGGTGCTAAAATAGAGGAAGTCTGTGAAGAAAGGGTGTTCATCTCTGCCTTGGTAGGTCAGAAAAGAATTGAGAGATACAGAAAGTCTTAGAAGACTAGTAGGAATTTTCCAGACTGATAAAAGTAGAACATTCCAGATGATATACAGAGGAAATAAGGCATGAAGGAATGTAATAGAACGTCATGTTCCAAGAAATACCAATAAGTCATTGTGTCTAGAGACAGAGGAAAAATGGAGATAAGGACAGAGAAATAAGCAGGGGCAAGATCATAAATAGTCTTATATGAGGCATTAGTATTTGATCTTGTAGGAAATGGGGGAGGAATAGAAGGTACTTAAGTTAAATTTTTGAAAAATCACTCTGGACACCATAGAAATAGATTGAGAAGTATTTGAGAGGTAGAATCTCCAAGACTTACAACTTCATGGGTAAGAGGGATGGATAGATTTGAGAGTCGCTAAAGATGTAGAATTGAAAAGACTTGATTCTAACAATGCTGGAGCTGAGTATTCATTTTTCTTTGGCTTTTTTATTGGATTTCAGCATACCTGCATCAATAGCCATGGGCACCCAATAAAATGCCTCCACGAGCATGTGGACTCTGAATTAAAGCTTTCTTCCAGATTTCCCTTTTTGCACTTGCTTCTACCCTTCCCATGCATTGCTTACCCTCATTCTCTAGCCTGTCTACCTTCATAATTTGATCACCTCTGCTCATCTGGCCCTATTTCATTTTGTAGCCTAGCTTCAGTCTATTTAACTTTAACTTGGCCATTTCAGGATGCAATTTCCAATAGTTCTTGGAATATGTGAACCCATTAAAGATGCCCCATGCTTAGATGCTTAACCTCTGAGAGCCACTTGTCGGGAGGGATATTGGAACAAAATTCCCTTAGGCTCTCAGTTTTCTTGGTCTTCCATCACCCAGATGAGTGAGGGAATTGGGGTGGAAGGTAGAGACAGGGTAGAAAGTTCTAATTCCCACAGATGACACTCCCTATTCAGTTGGCAAGGAAGGGGGTAGTATACCAAGCCCTTATTGGCATCACATATCGCTAGCTTCACCCCTGGAGAAATTCACCAACAACTTCTGGAGACTACTTTACTTCTAAGCTCCAGGTTTGAGAGAAACTATATCACATACCTACTTGCATAGACTGAAGAGAGGTAAGCAGTGATCAGTGCAGGTCTTCTCATACTGCTAGGCAATGTACTTTATGGCCCTACCAACCAAGGGGACAATGATGTCATTTGTAAATTCTGTTAGGGGTTGAGGTCAGTTGCATCTGGGCCATGTAATTTCAGTTCTTGCTCATAAACTCCAATGTAAGAAAAAAAATCTCAATGTCACTCTATCAAAACGACAGGGGCCTCTATGCAGTCACCATTTGAGACCATGTCCCACTCCTGCTGACCAGATCTATTGACAAGAGGCTTAAGGGTGCCACAACTTCCAGTGCCTAGAGCCTCATTCATTTAAGGCAAGTGACAAGTGGAAGAATGCCTTCCAGGTGATGTACCGTGGCCAGCTAGTATGAACACATTATCATGCCACTTGATCATCTCTCAGAAATTACTAAGCAGGTTCCTGAGACAGTAAAAAATGTCTGTCAATTCCTGAAAGTTCCCCAGGTAATTTAAATGTTCATTCCCCATTTATCTATACCACCACTCAAATAACTAACCACCTCAAGAAAGGAAGTCGGTTTTTTTGGAAGTCGAAGGTGGTTTTGGTCACCTCCACCCCAATCATGGCTACCTGGCCTCAGATCCATGGCATCAAAATTGATGTATCCAACATGGTGCCACCTCTCCAAGGAGACTTTCCTCTTCCTTCTCTCCCACTCCCAGCAACTTGCAGTTAATTGGAGAAGAAATGATTGTTTAACTTAGAGGAGCAATTCATAGACTTGGCTGAGCTAAACTGTCTTTCTAGAACATAAGAACTAAGAGATAAAAAGACTCACCATAATTGTAACTGGCCTGTATATATATATATATATATATATATATATATATATATATATATGGGGAGTTTTGTTGTTGCTGCTGTTTTGGGAGCCTATCCAAGCACAGAAGGTGATTTACTAAAAGGAGACCAGAGCAGACATGCAGAGTTACCATGTGACCACATAGACTTACCCACTAAGTCTAAGGCTGAGGGCCTACAATTTTAATGAAGTGAATGTGAGCTGGCCTGTGGTGCCAAAATTTTACCACCACAGAAATCCCCTCTGATGCTCCTCAAGTCTCATATCCATACCATAAAAGAGTCACCTGGGTTTTTAAGGTGACAGAAATCACTTACTCCCACTAGTAAAGTTGTAGGTCAGAGAGGCAATCTTGGGAAACACTGGGCAAACTAAGGAAACACTGGCACCCTTGCCAGGGAAGAGAAAGAAACTCTGCTCGATATTATGAAAGAGTTTATCTGCTTATTCAACAACATTGAGCATCTATTATGTGCCATGTACAGTTTAGGTGCTAAGGATTCAGCAGTGAGCAAAACAGACAAAAGGTTTTTGCCTTCATGGAGCTTAATTCATAAATTAAATGATAACATCACAGATACCCATGCATCCACCACACAACATAAGATACAGCATAGCTATTTTCCAGAGGCTATGAAAACTTTGTAAAAAGTCCCAGTGAAACTGATCCATTCCTATGTAGCTTGGCTTCACATCATGCTTACTTTCTCCTTTTTATTTTGTCACATTTTAACTTAATAGTACATCTTCAAATATCCTAATATCGACTTAGAACCTAGATTGTAAACCAGGCTGCCATACTTCTGACCAATTGGCTATGAACCTTTGCAGGCTCTTACCACTCCTTCAGCTTCTATAATTCACTGGAAAGACTCATAGAAAGCACTA